TTAAATTTTTAATTGGCCAATTAACATTGCCCCATTAAGAAAGTAATAAAACTTAAAATAGCTGACTGCATCTGAAACTTTAGTTTTGCCTACGAAAATGCAGGAAAACTCACTAATTTTCATAATCGGAATTTTCATAGCAAATTTAACAAATTATAGCATTTGCATAACACTTAAATTTCTGTACCAGCAAGTCTCGGTGTCCCGCTACTACTTGCATATGTTTATCTATAAACATTCCAACCTAAAAAAAGAAATATAAGGAAAAAAGTATTTAAATATTTTCAAAATATTTATTTACATAATAAAAACAGTAAATAAGTTACTTACTTCCCGCTTGAAGCCAAATATTTTGAAGTGAGCTTGATTTGGTTCCGCGTATGCATCTTGTTATAGAAGTAATTTCCAGACCACGTACTCCACATATCCACTTGAAATGGACTACGTGAACCTGTTGTTGTTGGTTTTCTCAGTTTCTTTTTTTTTTTTTGTTTTTTGTTTATTGCTACTGCCACCAAGTGCTTAAGTAACTTTTCTAAGCTGAGCTTAAACAATTTTTGTATTTTGTATTTTGTATTTTGAGTGTGTGATAAAGATCAGAGTAACTGTAGTCGTGTTAACAAGCCAAAATAAATAAAAACAAAACCAAAACCAAAAATGTATAAAAAATGGAAAAAATAAAAATTGTATCTTTTCAGCTACTTAAAGCACCGACTGCGCACAGTACTTCGTTTCATGCCTAAAAGGTTAGCAATACTTTTTGAATCTAAAGCAGCGACATAAATTGTTTACTTGCAGTTGATAAGTACCAAATATTTTCTAAATTTTTATGTTTTTATCTGATTTTTCTTTTTATGTACACAACATCTTTTGTGGTTTTGAATGATTAGTGCTTCTGCCATTAGTGTTTAGCTTATAATTTATTTTTTAAATTAACTTCTTTGCTGCAAAAGGTCATTTATCTCTGATTAGCTCTGATTGCCATGACTGAGGTTCCATTTGGGTCGAATATTTTGATATAAATAATTTAAAAAATTTCAAATTATATACATTATTAAAAGACATATGAAATATTTTATTTCAATTAATACTGTATAAAGAATTAATATTTTTGCAAGGTCACATAATTCTTATTATAACTTAAATTAGTTAAATTTTTTATTAAAAATGAGATATTATTGATTCAACCAAGCATTAAAAACAATTTATTCGTTACAGTTGTTTTGCAGCTTATGTTCCAATTTTCTAACCATAATTATATGTTTAAGAAAATAACAAAATCTTGATTTTAGACAGTCAAAGTCTATAAAAACTAAAAACATTTTTAAATATTGAAACCATCAACAGAGGTTCTCATATTTATTCCAAATTTTTTAGTGCAGTTAGCTAACACTCTTACCACTTTTTAATTTTAAATTATAGTCCTCAAAATTTTTTATATTTTTACCATATTGGTGCTGTTAGATGGCAGCTTACCTTTCATTTATATGACTTAGTGATCAAATAATAAGGTTTTTTCAAGATTTAAATTGTATACAGCTTTTAAAAAATTTATTACTTCTAAATTTATTGCTCCCCGAACTACAATAAACTTATGCCAAAATTTTTTTTTGTTTTTATAACAATCACTAAAGTTTAGAATATCAGAATGGCTATACTCATTCTCATCGTATATCGAATGAGTATTTCCCCATTGTGGTTTTTTGAGCTAAGGAAATGCCATAAGTCACACAGTATAGTATATATACCAGTATTTAGGCTATATCAAAATTCGACTACATACGTTTGAGTATGACTAAAGAATTTACTCAATAACTTATATGAATTCAATTTAGAATAAGAGTTCATATGCAGTCTAACATTTTCAATGTATGACTTAATTCCGTCAATTAATAATATAAGTATTGAGCATTTTTTATATATATTTTCATTATTGTATATATGCACACACAGATGTTTATGCCGCTTTAAACCAAATGACATTTGAGATGTTTCAACCAGCAATGAGATGACTAGCTCAGATCTATATGCTCACCTTAGATAAGTAAACTTACTTGTAATATTAATTAAAAAACCTCTTGTTAGTCAATATGACTAATTTAAACTCTACATTTGTTTAAATATAATAAAAACTGTATACTATATATATAATTATATAAGGAACTATACAGTTCAGAGATACTGACTATATTATTAGCGTACCTATGCATCACTAAGCATTAATAGCAAAAAAGAAAAACATATGTATATGGTGTAATTTCATACCTTTAAAAAAATGGAACACTTCCTAACTGTATACTGAACTCAAAGAAGTACGTCTAAGTAAGTGTGATATTAATATTGATTAATAATTTAATAAAACCTTTTACTATTTGTAACTCACAGTTCTCAATTATGATTCTTGTCACTATACAAATATGTATTTATTGACATAAATTACTTCGATCTCTCTTTTTTAAAAATGGGCTTATAGTGTCCACAGTGTCCACAATACTTATCTCAATTTAAGTAAGTTTCAAGGTTTAGAGAATTTTATTACATATATAAAAGTAACTTTTTTATTTAATAGAAACTAGTATATTTCAAAAAGAGATTTTTCGAACAGTAGCGAACTACAACAACAAAAATTAATTTTATATTATTTTAATTAATCGAATTTTTGGCTAACCATACAGCTGTTTCAAGTATTGTGAAATACCCATCATCAGTGGTCTTGCAAATAATTCTTGTGTTTTAAATTATTCGTAAATAATTTTTTGAGACTGCAAGTACCAGAATTCGAACTCGTGTCCTCCCAAAAGGACACATATCAAAAGGAAATCATAAAATCGAACGGGTCGTTGAATTTCTTTATAACATTTAAGGAGTTTGTATCCATATTGTGATTATTTTAAGTTAAGATCTAGTAACGAAAAGATTTCAACATACAATGATGTTGTGAGTGAAGTTTGAATTTATAAAAATCTGAGTTTTGATATAGTTTTCCAGCATGTTCACGATTTGGTGCTAAGTAAGCAGCTGTGAGTATGCCTAATATATATGTTATATACACTAGTAAAATCTATTAGTAGTTTCTATTAATTACTTTATTTCTACACTTAAGTGATGTTAAATGAAGAATGACATCCTCAGGGACATTAAGATTGATCCTATCAAAAAATATATAAAGGATAAAGCCCTGAAATTATTAAGGAAAACTGACAGACTTACCAACACTACGTTAACAAATCTCAAAATGGTTACAGGCTCCTCTTGGAGGTATGCAGATCTGAGGTCAATTATTGCTTAGTCTGATGAAGTGATAAACAATAATCTAGTCAAGGTGTAAAGAGGGGTTTTGAAAATACCTCGAGTTAAAAAAGAGTATAAGTACTTAAGTGCACTAGCTCAAAACAGCTTCAACATAATTGTAAATGAAATGTTTGTTTTTATTACAAATATAAGTTAAACTTTTACTAGGCAGGAAATTCCATTTACATTAATAGACGTAGTTGGGCATAAAAATTACAAAACAGCATTGCAATTTTTTATTTAAACTTAAGGCTAAAGTTTTTTATATACGAGTATTATATTTGAAATGAAATTTAACTGAAATATCTCTTCTTCATTTAATTTGATGACATTTTCATAACATTTAATCGGTTGGTATTCGCAACATAATTTCAACACTTTTGCTTGGAAGTGCAATTCTTTATAGCCAATAGGCATTTTTAGTGTCCACAGTATATTTTCTTTTGTCTTTTACATTTTTACTTTTACAGTAAAAATTCGTGAATATTGTGTTTCTCCAAAGGCACGCGTTTCTCTATTCAAGACATCTCATATGATTTTAGGTAACAAACACTCCATTCAAGTTGATCAGTTATAGAAACGATAAACCTTTTGAAGTTTTTGTTAATTTATTTTTTGACTTCAGACTGTTAATCTCTAAGATATGCAAATTGAGTAATTTAAGCTTTTGCTGCTTCTTTTTAATTTATACTTTTATGGAATTATCTGTTGAATAAAATAAGATTTATTTGCTTCTTGTCAAATAGCTTGTTTTCTCTTTTTTTTGGGACTTCAAAAAGTTGTGAACTTTTCTTTCAATGAAAGGGAGAACAAATAATTTTCAACTGTAATTTCTACACGTTTTTGGACGACTATCTTGTCCGCCAATTTGCATAATAAATTGATAGAGTCCAAAATATCTGTGTATTTTTTTTTTTTTTTGTAGTTACGATTTATTAAAACGGTATAAATTAATTATAAAAAAATCTAATTAAATAAAAGCGAAAGTTTTTCTATAGAAAATTGGTTATTAATGTGTAGTAGACAAAAAAAAAATTATTTATTTTTAATACATTATTTATTTTGCTAATTTTTTCTTTTCTTTAAATTTAAAAAATAAATGTATTTTAAGTTTGCTTTCAACGAACGCCACTGGACAAATTTTTATTGTAACGTGGGTGATAAAATAAAATTATTTAGTTGATTGAGAGCAAATAATTTGTTAAAATTTTCTCAAAACATGAATTCTTTATAATTTTTACTCAAAATTTAAATAGAAAAACGTGTAATTTTGATATATTCTAAAAATAATAAATTGAAACAGGGTGTGTCTGTAAGACATTGTAAGTCGAAAAGTATTTTGCTTTAAATCTTTGCATAGATACTTGAAGTATCATAAATTGTCACTTTCAGATATAAGAAAATGTATTGGAAATGTGTAACAATTTTGCATGCTTTATAGTTTCGTATTGAGTGCCTCTTGACCCTGTAGATAGTCCAATTTTATCAATGCGTTTAGATTTATTTTTGTTAGCGGAAGAAATGTTTTTGGCTCTTTGTTCAAATATATCAAATTAGGATTTTAGTCAATATTTTATATTAAAAATCAAAATACGCACAACATTTGTTCGAAAACTTTTCGAAACATATAGATTTTGTGAAAAAATTTAGAATAACATACATGAGGACAAGTCTTTATAGATGTGTTTAAAATTAGAGTTCTGTGAAAACTCTATTTATTGGTTTTGGTATGTAACATTTAAAAGATTTAAAAATAAAAAAGATTTTCAGAAAAACGAAAGAAAACTTTAACCCAAAAGTTTAGTAAATCTTTTCAATGACAAACAAATTTTTCGTGCTGCATTAGTTGCATTTCCGAGTTCTGAGGCACTTGATCATTTATATAGTGCACTGTAATGACAAAAATTAAAAAAAAAAACAGTTTTTGTGTACATAAAATTTTAATATATTTTATAAATTGCTTAATCTACGTAACAAACGATTAAATACACTATTTAATTTATAATGCCTTGTGAAAGATTAAAAATATTACCTGTCTTTAGTTAGAATACTATATGTTTTCTGAAATTCTGTTCAGAAAAAGTGTCAAAGAAATGTCATTAAAAATACATTAAAAAACAATAAAAATGTTAAATATTAATTACAACAATTTATTTTGAATAAATTTAAATATTGTATAATATATAGAATATATTTAAATATATCATGGCCAATAACAAATGTTCTGATTTGACTAGTTCGAAACGTAAAAAATTTCTTTCCATTGCCTTCGAGATAATATCTTGCGTAGGTTGGGAAATATTAAAAAAGTAAGTTAATTAAAACTAAAATTAAAATCAAGTGTCTACTCAACTCAAAGGCACTTCAAAGATAATAAAGAATATTCTTAACAACTAAAATGAAATTAGTACAAAATTATAAACAAAATCAATATAATCGAAATTAGTTTGGACGGCTTGTGAAGGACGTAGAAAACCATTTAAAATATTTTCATTTTGAAAATGGAAAGCAACTAAAATAAATAAGTTAACCAAACAATATTGGCTAACTTACACATAGTCCAATATTATAATATGTTATAAGAACCATAAAAAACTACGACTTTTATGGTTCTTCAACAATCAGGAGAATCGAGACTCAAAACCTTAAGAAGCTTTAGTGAAATTTAAATTTATTTCATTTCTGCGTTAAGTAAGATTAAGGAGCAAGATTGCGTCAGACTCCACATATACCACTTATGGATTCGTTGAGTTACCCTAAAGGTCTTGTTATATGACGTTTACTATTAGTGACTTTTTAATAGGTTTTTGTGATACCTGCATTCTTAAATCAAAATTTACATATATCACTTGAAACAATTAAGCCTTCTTGAGGATTATGTAAAACTTCCTATATTAATTGTGATGTTTCTTCAGTATGCTTGGAAACAAATTTTTCAAATACCCTAGTTTCTTGACAATAATTTTAAGTTTTATAATTCATCTTATTTCTTATAGCAGAGCCCGCAAAATTCGTCTATTTATATTTCAAGTCTCTTTGCATTCTTATCTTTTAGACAATCATCGGTTATTATGTATATAATGTTATATACGATTTCGATTCCAATCAAGTTTAATTTCTCTGTCTAAACAAAATCTGGTAAACACTTCAAACTTTTCTGCTAACGAAAACCGATAAACTGAAAATACTAAAAATCTATATCAGTAAGTCTCGTATTTGTTAATTTATTTTGACAACATAAAAACTTCTCTAAAATTATTATCCAAATAGATCAACAGGTACAGCAGTCCAGTGGTATGCTATATCTATTTTATTTTATTCAAATTGGTGACGAAGAATTCCAGTTACCGATATAAAGGATTCTAGCGTTCTCATAAACATTGTTTTGTATCTTCTTTTAGTCTACTTCGGTTATATCAAATCGGTTTATACTTGATTTGATTTGGCATTGAAAATTCTTTATGAATAATTATCGGCCAAATTCTTACAATATAAGCAACCCAGTTTTAATTAATCAAAAATATATTATAATAAAAACTGGTTTTTCAAAATTCTTCAGTTAATACAACAATTTTGAGAAATTTTTGGGAAGACAATTGTATATAAGGAATTTTATAGCAACTTGTTTTTGAAATATTTAAGTGTTTTAAACATTATTTCGTAAAGAAAAAAAAATTAAATATTTTGTTAAATAAATCTCAAAAATAAATTAAATTATATCGTTTTTAATGTTTTCAATTTTATGCTTTTCAAATATTTTTATTCAAAACTTATATTTAAGATTTTCAATAAATATATTAAATTGAATAAACAACTTTTTCAAATTCAAAAAAAAAGATTTAATAATAAACACATTTTTTTTTTGAAATTTTAGAGTGATGTCAATCACTGATCTACCGCCTTTACCAAAAAGTCTCAGCGGCGTTAATAAAATGCTTGGATCTGATTCCGGTTTAATTAGCGATGCCGATATTGATACGTGCTCGGAGAATAACAACAACAAAAGCAAAGTACATACAAGCCAAAAAGATGATGCCAATCTAAGTAGTAATACTAGCAATCTCCAAACGAATACAGCCAATATAAGCTTAATTAGTAAAACAAAAAGCGATGAACAAAATGAAAACAATAACGAGTCGACCTTATCGATATCACCACCAGAAACGGCCACTGGAAATACTTTAGATAAGCAATTAGCCACGCTGAGAAAGGAAATGGTAAGAATTGTTAATGAATTATTCATTTTTAACTGATATGTGAAATAACCCAGCGGGACTTTCAGCGCTGAGGGAATCGATTCCCTCAGCGCTGAATGGTAATGCCTAGCGCTGATTATTCAAAATGAAATCGCTAATTACTTTAACACGTGCAGTCATTGCGCAACGTGATCGTTCGATTCCTTTTCAACATTCTGTAATGAACATTTCAGCGCGAATGCCTCGCTTACCTTTTCGAATTTGTAAGCAACAATATCAGCGCTTACTGTTCGCTTATCATTTCGAATTGTAATGCAACATATCAGCGCTGACATGTTAGCTTACCTTTTCGAATTTGTAATGCAACATATCAGCGCTGATATGTTCGCTTAAATGTTCAATTTTACCTATGCTATTGATTTTTAAATAAAATACTATAAATTTTTTTGGATAAATTATTTTTTATATTTATGTTTTATACAATTAAAATATTAATATTTACATAAGAAAATATAACATACTTATATATATGAATATTTTTCTGGAAATTGTTACTAAAACCTTGAAGAGATTTCCAGACTCGACTCGATCACTTGTTCCGGCTTACCATCTGAACTTAAAGCATCTGTAAATACAAAAGTATGTTATTGTATACGCTAAAGTTAATTATGTACAATATACCATACCAAAAAGTGCTGCTGTCACATTCTCTAATGCTCTTAAGAACTTCTTGCCTTGGGTACCATTCTCCAAAATTCCAGGAAATTTTTCGCGTAATTGATTGTTTTTTAATAACGCGTCTCATTGATGCAGTCTATAAATAACGTAATAGATGAAAAGAAATGTATGAATTAGTAAAATTGTTACATGTGAATATATTAATAAGTTGAAATTGAAAGTAAGAAACATATATAATTAAACTTACAACTACTTCAACGGCAGTGATTTCTTCATTAAACTGAATTAAACCCTCCTCAGATTGAATTGGAAAATGTTCCAATTGAAACAGCTGACTGCATATTACCCTTGCTTTAGAATGACTGCATTCGCAGCACATTGGTCAATTAATCGTTCTTGACGCAGTAGCTTCTACATAATACAAAACAAAAATTACAATTATCATTTTAAATATATTTACTTAATTTTCCATATACTTACAGTGAGTTTATGTGAAATTACAAATTATATTTTATTTAAATTTTTGTTTTTTATTTGATTTTAAAAATTAAAAATTGTTCACTGTTCGCACTTCACTAAAATCAAAAGCAGACTAAATGTATACAATGTAGGCAAAACAAGAAATTCTTAACTCATATGCTTTTCTTCTTCATTCTTTTATAATTTCAACCCCGAAATTGCCTATGTCAAACACAAATGTCGAAAACAAAGAAAAATAAAAACGAAGAGCTATTACCTCCTCGCTTACTTTTTCAGCGCTGGCATAATGGTGCCGCTGGGAAATTGAATGAGTATAAAATGAAAACTTTAATGGGAATAGGTAAAAAGTACTCGTATACAAAGTACTATTTATAGGGCTATTGTTTATCCGGTAATTTATTTAAGCCCTAAATTGTAACTAAATAAGTATGATTCGAGAATAATTTTATATTAGAGACTTCTGTAGAATAATTTGAACCTTATCTTTTCAAAGTTCATATATATATATCCATAAAATTTTTTGCTACACACATTGAAGAAGTGATGAAACTTTGCATATCGGGTGTAATTTTCCATACCCACATTATATCATTGCTTACCCAATGCCTAAAATTTCGCACTGTTTCTCTTACCAGTCCTATTATTTTAATTTTTTCTGTATAGTCCTTCCAAAAGTTTTAAAATTGAGCACATTTTTTTTCGCCGGACTATATTGTAATATAAATTATAATTTGATGACTATTCTCTTAAAAGCATATTTGTTATACGGCCTTGCTATAAAAATTTCAGTCTAATATTATTAACACTATTAAACGGAGTACTATATATAACTAAGGACTATTAAACTTACAATGAGTTAAATGAAGGGAAAGATAGTTTTAACTTAGATATAACGATAGCTTACTAACTGAAGTAGACTATTCTGTTATATAACTCATTATTTTTAATTTGTTTAAAATTTTTATAGTTATCTAAGTTTTTTGGTAACTGCACTTTTTCTTAAAATATCCAATAGGTATTCAAAACCTTCTCTCTATTTATTCGCCATCAGGTCTCTTAACGGTTTAAAATGTCAACAAATGTGAAGATTTATTGTTGGGTTTTTTGTTTTATATTTTAAAATAATGTCCACCTTTATTATTTATGTTTTTCTTTTTTTGAGTAAAGATAAAGAGCTTTGCTTTGAGTTGTGACCTTAAACACATTTTTTTTAAGTTTTGATGAAGACATTTTATTGTTTTGGATTTTTAATTGAAAACTACAAATTTGCATATGAACAATACAACAAAATATATGGATAATTGTTTATTTTTAATAAAATCAATTTTATATATATGAAATAATAATTTTCGTGAAATAATTTCTTTCAATTCAATATATTGTTTATATCATACAAAAGGGAGTAAGTTTTTAAAAAATGAGCATTTATAACACAATTAATTTTAAATAGTTTATATATTGGGTGATATAAAAAGTTTCCACCATGTTTTGGTATATTCTTGAACCAAAATTTTTTTATTTAAAATTAATTTTAATCAAGTTTATATTGGCCATTATTATATTTGACCATTCACCATTTTTCAAATAGATTCATAATTCTATTCGTGTAAAACTTCTGTGGTGTATTGGCGAGGAACTTGACCAAGTGATTTTTATCGACTTCGATTAGCTAGTTTTTTAACCATTGAGAGAATTTTTCGTGGATGCATCAACTTCCTTAACCAGTTCCGTTAACTTCTTTCAAATCATCACAGATGTATATGGCCTGTCATTTTCATAATGGAACTTACCTACTTTGGCCAACAGCCTATTCTAGTCGCTTTTTCTTGATTGGAATAATTCGTAATAGACAATTTCTCTCCAACATCATCAAACAATATCAATATTAATATTATTTTATTTCCCATAAATCCAGGATTTGAAATCATTTGTAGAGGGTCACTGGTTTTTTATCATAATTACTTGCATTGGATATTACACAAATTTTTTCTATTTTTTATCACCCTTATCGACTTGTTACAAAAATAATTTAATTTCTTTGCGTTTTAGCAAATTGAAACGTCTTTGCGTACCATACTCTTTTCAAGTCATTTCATCATATGGTTGATATTCAATACCTACGCTATCTCCTGACAACTTTTGTGTTGGTCTTACTCCACCAACTACAAAATTTCATAGGCGTTTTAAGTGACTGGCCGATCAGAGCGACATATATCTTTGACATCGAAATTTCGGGAACAGAATTGAGCAAATTCACTCCTCCCGAATCTAACATTTACTTACAGCATCGCCACCTCTAACCTTTTTTTGACATTATTGGATTAGTCCTGCCACATATATGGATACATTCAATCCTATTTAATTTATGTATAGTATGACTTATAATTATATTGATTTCGACTAATGAGAATTGTAGTGTGTATAGATATTTTAAAAGATATGATTTTAATGGTTTAATAAAATTCTTTACTTGATATAATATATAGTTATGAACTGCTATATATTCAGATTGTTATACTTATAATATAGATGTATTATATATATTACATTTTTATAAAACATATAGAAAAAACATTTTTATAGCTCACACATATGTATGTACCTAAACCATAATCATTAATTTTAGTGCTACAACTGTAATTAAACTTTCATGAATTCTTTTAGGAATGTTAATTGAAATTGCCTATGCCTTTCATTAAAACTATGTACAAACTAAGAGGTTTTCTTACAAAGAGCCTTTCACATTTTAACTAAGAATAGAGCTTTATAACTTCAAACCATAAAATCGAAATAAAATTCTCTGCTATAGTATATTTTTAAATAAAAATCTACTTTTAAGTAATTTTATACGATAGACAAACAGCATTGAACTGTGCTTAGGTAAAGAACCTGTTGCAAATATTTACCTAAAACTCAGAAATGATTGTAAAAGTTTAAGAGTAGGTGTAGCTCTGAGTTGAACTTAAAGAAGGAGCGGTTAGCTGGGTTCAGCTTTTACGATCTGAAATCAAATGCAAAACAAATTGAGAATTAAACAAACCGCACTGGCCTTTAACGTAAAACATATTTAGCTTATCTGCTTTGAAAAATTTTAATAAAAAATAAAATTAAAATTTTGCATTGTTTGCGTAATAAAAATAAATGTAATTCTTGAATAACTTAAAATGAAAATGTTAGAATATATACTTGTAAATAATATTCTCTTATATATTCGAAAACAATCTTATATAATATATATACACATTTCGTTTCTAGTTTAGCAAAAAGGAGCAGCAAAAAAGGTCAAACTAAGATTCTTCAGTTTTCACGTCAAAATTAATAACTTATGGTGACGATGTAATTATATTTGCTAAGGTCAAAAACATCATCTCTCAGAACAGGCTCTTCTTAAACGCAACCACAAAAAAGCAACTTTCTATCTTCCTTTTCTTTACTTTTATTATGCATAACCACAATATTACAATATTCTAACCCCCTTCTTTTGATTCCCTATTTTTTAAATTAATCACAAAATTAACACTTTCCATCTCATTTCTCAGAGGAGAAGATTTAAAACATTTGCAAACCATACAAAATTCTTTGCAATGATTTTAGATGAGAGACTGAGTAAGAAGTTCAAAAGATATCCCAGAGTATATACCTTAGAAAGATCAATGTGCACATGTTAACGAACCACTAAAATAAGATAGGACCAACAGGCTATTTCATTTCATTGGACTAAACTGGAAGTTTATAGTGGAAACCTTAACGAAGTTCAACATCAAATACACTTTAAACAATGTTTGAACTTCCTCCGGTCAAACATTGCACAGTGCAGAGTATATTGTAAATTGTAAATTAATAGAAAATATTACGTATCTTTT